GCTGATTTTAAAATAAACAATGAACTTAAAGAAAAAGAACCATATAGCCTATCTGCAGGAATGTTAATAAAAAACAGACAATGTCTGCCTGTTCACCCCTGCTCCAGTCCTCACCCTCCTTTCCAAACAGTGCTGCATGCATTCTTCCTCACCATGCAAAACAACAGTTCACCACATCAGTTAGGAGCATTTACATTTATGATAAGAGCTGTTGAAGTTACTAATTGTCACATGTAACTACAAACATGCTCTTTAAGTGCAAACAATTTGAGGTGAACCACAGTGTGGGGTACACGCTGACGTTTATTACAATTAAGAGACCTCTCTGTTGAATTTTCATGCTCCCTCTGTTCCTATGTAGTTTTCCTCCTATAGTCAAAAGACATGTAAGTTAAGTGAACTCAATGTGCTTGTTTGTCTGTGTATGTGTGTTGGCCCTGTGACAGACTGGTGACCTGCCCCAGTACCCAGTACAAGATAACCACAAATGGATGATATGTGTTTTATCATGTTTATAATGTGCAATATATATAATAATAATTATGTCTCTTTTGATTCTGAGTAGTCTCTGTACACATATTTACCGAACAGATAAATTTGCACACGTCACATTAGCTCTCTGAAAGCAGTGGAAATAGACAAGGAACAAGCTGGGTCTTAACATAAGCCCAGTACAGCACACACATCCTGCTTCATTGTAATAGAAAAAGGGATTTGATCATGTTAGAAGAGCTACACTAGTTTAATATGTAATTAATAACATTAAAATTTAGAATGTTAAAATTTAAATATGTCTGTTTTTCTAGAAGGAAAATAACCAGTTTTAAACCTTTTATCAGGTTTAACCATTTATCCACAGATATAATGTTTGTTTTTGAAGTTATCAATGGAAGGTCGGACACAATTTTTTCTGACCTGCGGTAAGCTGACTGAGCAGCAAACAACAAAACTACTGGGAAATTGATTAATTAAAAAATGAAGTGAAGGTGAGTGAAGGTGGTTGGTTGAAGGGAAAATTCTTCCATTGACAGTGTGTGCTTAAGCAAAGATTGCCTTTCAGCTCTAGCCCCAGCAGCGTTGCTCTGTAGTGTAGGCAGCATATGTATTTATTTATATGCTGTGTAGCCGACACTTCAACTAAACCCAAGCCAGAGGGTCAGGACAATTTCCATAAACCTGGACCGATCACTGCACCAGTGCATTAAACATGTCTCTCTATGGAAGACAATGGGCTGTAGCTGTAGCTACCATTGAGGACTCTGGGGTCCTCTGCATTATTTTTAAAAATGTGGAGGTTTTAACCACCTGACAACGAGTTTACATTCTACAAATACACACAAATTACGTTTGGTTGAATTATGATATTTTGTAAATTACTTTTAAACCGCCTTTAGGTCAACACAAAGGGATCAAATTTACAGGGAATAGCATTGCATAACTATGTATAAAGGGAATGTGAATTAAACTTTCTCTGAAATATAATATATGGCTATACATACATATACATAATTTATGGTTCGAACAAAAATGTTGGGGAGTGAATTTAAATCAGGGCCTTTGATTTTATTCAACCTTTTTTCCCAGCCCCATGAGTTTCTGCATGGCAAAATTTAAACTAATTTCTGTAGGTGTCTATGACATCTACTGGTGATAGTGGGAATTGGAGATAGGATAAAACAAATGCTGCTGTAATGTCCACAAAGGTCTGGGTGTACCAGCTGAGTGGAGAAAAATCTACCTCTATTGGTCATTATCAGGGCTGAACAACTAAAAATAAAATAAAATATTATATTAAAAAAAGTGTTATATCCAAATTGCAGGAGCTGCAGTTCATTGATAAAGGTAAAATGTGTCACAACATACCATTCAAGTCTACAAATAATATTCTCCAGATGTAAGGAAACATGTTTAGTAACAAAACCACAGTAAAATCACTTCATCATCATTTACATTTTTTTTTATGAAATGCAAAAATGCAATGTTAGTCAAAATAATATGATGTGATATGCACATATAGTTCAGCCCTATTTTTCGAATAAACACTTTGCTCTATCTTGTGAGAGAGCTAGAGATCAGGGCTAAATGATGTGTAATAAATAATAATTTGCTGTTATTTTGACTGATATTATGATATGAGTCAAAATTTTAGTGGGAATGTAATTTTTTAATGAAAAAATATAAAAATTATGACGATTTTGGTGGGGTCTGTACAAAAAGAGCATGTACCCTTACATCTGGAGAATATCATTTGTAGGCTGGGTATCTCTGTTGCGCCACAATTCCTCCTTCTGTTCTTAGTTGCTTCAGCTGCTCTATAGCACCTTCCAGAGGGCAATTTAATAAATTTATGAGTACAGAATCAGACGCAATTTGTCTAGCTTTTTGTTTCACCTGGGTTTTATATACATCCCAATTGTTTCTGCTCTTTCCCAATAATCTTAACAGCTACATTTGTAATTCTGCACAATCTGTTTTTGTCCTTCGCCCTCAGGTGTCCATACCATGTGCATATATTAAAAGTTAGAATGCTTTCAATGAGACTTCGATAAACACTCTGTAGGATATTTTTGCTTATGTTGTAGGAGTCCAATTTCCGGATCAGATATAGATGCTGTATTGCTTTTTTAAAAACGTTCTGTGTGTTGGCTGTGAAAATTAATTTACAATCAAAAATTGTTACTAGATATTTAAACTCCTCAACTTTCTCAGCATTCTTATTGTTAATCAAAACAAGGACCAGCATTGTGGTGTCTCATGATAGCTAGCTCTTTAGTCTTGTTTTCATTAATAAAGAGGGCACTGTGCTCACACCTCTTAGTGAGCTCTTTAATATGTTTGAGATATGTTGACTGCTTGGCTGTGTCTCCCATGCACTACTACACTTCACTCTCTGTGGCTAGATTGTAAGGAACTTTAACCCACTGTATAATGTGGCTTTTGGTGTTTATATCCCAAAGTTGCTTGATCAGAATACATTTCTACAATTAAAAGCTGAGCTAAAATCTATAAATAAAATAGTATAAATCTTAGACTGCTGTAGATGTACAATATTCATCAGTGTCAAAGTTGCGTCTCCAGTACCTCTGCCCTTCTTATATGCAAACTGAAGTTGATCAAACCATTCACTGAGAGATGTTGAAATATGATTGACTCTGAACCTTTCCATACATTTACATAATGCTTATCAATGCGACTGGTCTAAAATCATTGAGCTCTGTGCTTCTTAGGGATAGGAATAACATTGAAGAATTTCCATATTTTGGGAACAGAATTTTCAATTAATAAAAGCTGGAATAATTTTGTGAAGACTGTTGTGAGCTGAAACCTACACAATTTGAACACCCTGCTCACCATCTAGTCCAGTCAGATTTAATTTTGGCCAGACTTACTGCTAACTTCTGACTCCGTCAGTACAATTGTGGACTGATCATTGGTGTTACTGAATATGTCAGAGCCAATATGTTACAACCAGAACACTGTTGGTTATCAAATCTGGAATAAAACTGATTCAGTTCATTAGCAAATGATACCCCTTTAATCAACAATGTTTTTTTCCCCCTCTCTACCCCACATAAAATTGAGTCCTTCCCAGGATATTACCAGAAAAAAAAGCAGAGTCTCTACCCTTTCTTTGTATTTAACCTTATTTGTATTTGTACTTACCTTACCATATACATACATTGCTCAAACAAATTAAGGGAACACTTATTCATCACAGTATAACATCAAATCAATTAAACTTAAGAGATATCAATCCGTCCAGTTAGGAACAAAAGAGATTGTGAATCAGTGTCAATTGTTCCAGTGCAAATAAAAGTGACAACAGGTGCACTAGAGAGGAAACAGCAAGACAACGCCCAAAAAGGGAAATGTTCTGCAGGAGGTGGCCACAGACAACTGCTCTCCTTCCTGACTGACAATTCTCTAGTTTTGTGTTTTGGTATTGTTCTTGTCACTACTGTTAGCATGAGGCAGTACCTTCAGGTTGTACAGGTAGTCCAGCTACTCCAGGATGACACATCCATACATGCCGTCACAAGAAGGTTTGCTGTGTCTCCCAGCACAATCTCAAGAGCATGGAGGAGATACAAGGAGACAGGCTGTTACATGAGGAGAGCTGGACAGGGTCATAGAAGGGCATCAACCCAGCAGCAGGACCGGCATCTGCTCCTTTGCGCGAGGAGGAACAGGAGGATTAGCAGAGCCCTACAAAATGACCTCCAGCGGGCTACTGGTATGCATGTTTGTGACCAAACTGTCAGAAACAGACTCCATGACGGTGGCATGAGCGTACAAAGCCCTCTAGTGGGATCTGTGCTCACAGCCCAGCACCGTGCAGCTTGATTGGAATTCACCAGAGAACACCTGAACTAGCAGGTCTGCCATTGGCGCCCAGTTTCTCTTAACAGATGGTAGCAGGTTCACACTGAGCACATGTGACGGAAGTGAAAGACTCTGGAGACGCCGTAGTAAACGTTATGCTGCCTGTAACATCATCCAGCATGACCGTTTTGGTGGTGGGTCAGTGATGGTCTGGCGGCACAGACCTCCACATGATAGCCAACGGTACCCTGACTGCTGCTAGGTACCAGGATGAAATCCTTAGAGCCATGGTCAGACTTTAACTGCTGCAGCCTGTGATTTACATTTTCTTTTGGGTGTGATTTTGAATCCTGCCCTCAATTAGTTGGTGATTTTGTTTTACATTGATGTCATTTTGTTCTCAACAAATTACACAATGTACAGTAAAGATTTGGAACTTTTAAATATTGTGATGTGTGTGATTTAAGTGTTCCCTTAGTTATTTTGAGTAGTATATATAGCCACTTCGGTACATTATGTTTGGGATTAGGGTTTAAATTGCATCTGTATTTATATTAAATAAAGTATTAGTAATAGAATATAACTTTAGTTATATTCACCTAGGGGTACCCCTCTTAAACAAGAGAAAATTGATAGCCAGTTACCCAATTCAGTCTCATGAAATATAACCTACTTAACTATCAATTTGGAATCTGATAAATAATTAACTATAACCTAAGTTACCATTAATAGCAAGTCAGTGTAAGCATTTGGAGTTCTACACAGAAGTGGGATTTCTCCCACTTGGTACAGTAAAATGTTACAAATTGTGCCAGTAACAGTAGACGAAACTGGGAAGCAGATGCCATGACAATGAACTAACCTATTAAGGAATTAGTTTGGTAAAAAGGTCAAAGTGCATAGCAATTTAGCTGTGTTAATTTGTTGTATTAGAGTGGATTTTAGAGTGGGATTTCTCCAAGTTGGTGCAGTAAAATTATAACCAAAGTTTTGCCAGTTATAGAGGAAGACATTACGAAGCAGATACCATGACACAAGAGAAACGGAGCAAATCAACCAAGAATACATTGGTGCAGCACCTCAAAAGAACAATGGACTAAAGAGGACGACAGATTTGGGCTGGACCTGTCAGAGTTTTCAGGCAGAGGGGACTCAAACGCAGATCAGAGTTTAGACAGTTTTTTCAGGGGAGTGTAAGCGGGAAGACGGAGGTTCAGGACAGAGGCTCCCTCCCAGGTTCGGGGTAGGAGGGAAATCTGGGAGCGGGAAGCGTCCTGGCTGCGGGCGGCACCGAGAGCTTACTGGCTGGTAGTCTGCTGAGAAAGAGAGAAACAACAGTTAGACAGAAACAGACAATAACCACGATGATTCTAAGATTGACTGTGGCTGACACGACATACGTGTGGAGATTCAACGATCCAGCAAGGACTGGATGTCTGAGCCTCCTATTTAGGCAGTGGCTGATTGTGGGACACAGAGCAGGTGTGCTGATTGTGGATGGGTTTCAGGTGAGTGCAGAGCCCGCAGCAGACACGCCCCCAGCTCCCCGAACAAGCTCACAGCCGGGGCCTCGTGACAGGACCCAACAAAAACAAAACAATAAACCAAATACATTTTTAAAGCAAATCTTTGTGTTTGACACATTCTTTTTAAGCTATGTTGCTATGGATATACTGAATATTGCTATACTCTTTAAAGTCACTGTATTGTTAGGGTTCATGGACAAAAACATTAAGCTTTTAAAATTCTATATAACATGCATGCAAAAGATGGCGATATAAAGTCTTGCCTATACTGTGATTTCCTTCTCACACTATCACTGAATTCACCATTAACAACTCACATGAGTTTATGATGTTGTATGGTATTATTTTAATCAAGAGACAGTAGACAGTACCTTTTCTTTGTTATTGTGTTTTGATTAGGAGATATGAGGCAAATTACATAATTTGGTTATGATTGTGATGTGGTTATGATAATTTGGTAAAATGGAATGGAATAACAAATGGAATAGTGAACATCATCTTCGCATATCACCTTGACTAAAGGTTTCACAAATTTGAAAGTGGGTTTCAGAGAGCATTTAAGGTTTACCTAAAATGTCTAACACGCTTTCTCAACAAGAGGTGCAAAAACAGCTAATTGGTCTTTCAGCAATCTAAGTTAAGTTTCTCTTAAGCTGCGAATCGGACGCTAACTCAACATTGTGCATAATTACTGAAGTACAATTTTATGCCTCTGCGTGGATGTTTTGGGTTGTCCATCTGTCTCATTCTCGCAATGCAATATCTTAGGAACACCTTGAGGGAATTTCTTACAATTTGGCACAAACTCAAAGTCACTGTGACCTCACAACACACATTTTTGGTTAAAACTCAAGAACTGATGACAATATTTCACAGTTGGTCAATTAGGTGGTGACACTAATCAGCGTATTGGAGTGCACCATGCTAATCGTGATCCTGTGAGTGAGCGAGTTTCCCCTACAGCTCGTAAAGAGGCTTCCATCTAAAAATGCCAGGAGGAAACAAAAGCACCACATGTTGTGGAGCTATAAGAATCCATCTTTAATAATCATCAAGTGATAATCCTTCATTTATCTGTTCAATAATGTATATTTGTTGGAATCATACATGTGTATCATCAATATTATATTAACTTCCTCTTAGCCAAAACATACACTTTATACTTTTTATTCAATACCTTCCAAATATTCACTACACTTATTACATGAGTCTGGACAGACATGAATGTAAACTGTAACTTGACTGGTTGGCGGTGGCATACAACTGTAATTCTAGCACTTAACATTACCTGAGTACAAAAATAATGTAATAGCCTTTTATACTTAATTATCTGCCACTTATAGTTACTACCCTGCTGGAAAAACCAGTATGGACCAGCATAATTCCCATGCTGGTCTATGCTGGTCTATGCTGGTTTTTCCAGCAGGGTAGATACTTTGTGATTTTACACACACATGTTAACTTAAACATAAAATATAATGCATAGATTAAATTATAAAGTTGTTATTCTGACTTACACTAGACACGGGGGTTTTCAATGTGACTGCGGGCATGCCCTCAGACAAAGCTTCAATTCCTGGATACCCATGGGATCATTATTATGTTAATTGATACAATAGATAAACACTCACCATTTGAGCCAAGATAGCATAATATTGCTGTTTCACGTAACTTCAGACTGCACCAAATACATTCAAATTAAGGTCTGTCCTAAGGCATTTTTTACTTTCTGACTGATAAAGTGGGAGGAACTGTTCCCCAAAACTACTCTGAACTCTCTCTTTAACCAAATCACATTAGACTATAGATTGTTTCACTTCCATTCACTGAGCCTCCCCTGAAACCGTCTGAAGCCCTACTGGGGACCTTGAAAACCTCTGGACTAGACTATTAAAGACACACAAATTGTTTGGCCGCTTCATTGCTTTCACATCGTCATTTCTCGGTAAACGTTCAGCTGGGGCCGTAAGTTTCTATTTTGCTCACCACTTCCCTCACTACAGATTGACGTGAACGTGTACCAACAGCGTGTGCTGTTTTGTGTCCGGGTCCACCAGTGAGCTGTTAGATTTGATCTCACGAGGAAACTGTGCGACGTAACGCGGACATTTCGGCTCTTAACTGCTTTCACGGCAGTTGTGTCAGAGCCAACATGGAGCCCGAGGTAACCCTGTGAAGAATGCTTGGGAGGGATAAATAGACAACCAATTAAACAACGAATGGAGCAGAAACGACAAAGGAAATAACATTCACACGCCTGAACTCTGTTAGAAGCTGTTTTGTTTTACCGACCAAACCGCAGCTTAAGTTACAGCTAAGTTAGCTAGCAACGAGGGAAACAAGAGCTAGCTATGTTCCTGTCTTAAATGACCAGTTAGCTAACTTACTGAAGACAAAGTGGACTCAGACTGACAACATAAAACAAGGTGAGTAACTAAATGTGTGTGTGAGCTAACTAACACACAAATATGTCACACTCGGTCTTAACTTCCTTGCTTGTGAAAACATAAGAATATGCAGTCATTAGTAGTCCCAGGTCATCACCTAACTAACATTAAGTGTTTGCACTTTGCTCCCTCGGCTACTGATTACAGACTTTTATGAACCCGCACACATACATTTAATGGCGCTACCTTTTAGTGCAATAGGTTAGGTTAGGGCATGTAACGTTAGTCATACTGTACACACACGCATTAACTGTGGTTTACTGTTTGTAAGCTCGTTGGCGTTTCCCTGATCAACCTTAGGATGGCCCAGTGGGACAGGCTGAGGCAGCTGTCTGCTGCGTACAGACAGCAGCTACATGAGCTCTACGACAGGGATGCTTTGCCTATGGATGTTCGCCACTACTTGTCAACCTGGATAGAGAAGCAGGAGTGGTAAGGCAGCACTTTCTCCTTTGCCCCATATATTCATTAATTACTTCAAACTGGGTAACTCACTTTAGTCCTTCAAGGATTTCATTTAGTTACCCTGTAAAATACTCTGCTTGTATGGTTTGTTTTTGTTCCTTCAGGCAACGAGCAGCACGGGACCATGACTTGGCCATGGTGCTTTTCCAGGTCATGTTGGAGAATCTGGATATCCAACACAGCCGCTTTGTCCAGGAGGAGTCATTTTTAATGCAGCACAACATCAGACGTTATAAACAAAATTTTCAGGTTGGTGTGGATTAGATTTGTGGAAAACAAAAGCAGTGGGTGACATCTTTATTTTATATTGGAAATATCCACTCTCAATATGTGGGCCATAATAGTTCTGATCTGCTCCCTTTACATTGTTTAGCAGTGTTTCCTCTACCTTCCTATAAGTATGTTCTGCTTGTAAATTAAGCCTAGGTAGGAATTCAGTCTTTGGAGAGCCTAAAGATAATTAACTTAATTAACTTTGACTCTGATATTAATCTGACCTCTCTTCCCTGACAGAGGTACCTGGATGACCCGTGTGCCTTGGCAAGCACAATCCTGTGGTTTTTGGAAAAAGAGAAGGAAATCCTGCAGAGTGCTGAACTTGCTGAGCAGGTTTGGGCAACATTTTAATTACCTCTGGAAATGTCACGATAATAGATGGGACACACCCTGCTGCTCATAAAACATTTTAATGAAAACAGCATGCAGATGAAAACAAATACACACATATTGCTATAGAAAAGGGCAGTTGGTGTATGGCAACTTGTTATTTTATCATATGGCCACTTCATACATTGCCATGTTTTCTGGCTGATTTTGGTGAGCTTTATCTCTGCAGTGCTGTAACTTAATTCATAACTTTTGAATGTATAAAACCAAAACAAGGACATGTTTGAGGTTTCTAGTGTGAATTTCCATTATACAATTTTGTCTGTTTTCAGTTGTTCTGAGAAATGTATTTGCAGTCACATGTACTGAATATTAACTCCAGGACTGTGTGGGCTAAAAGGCAAACATTTTCCACCAAGCTGTGATTCTATTTTAATTGCCACCTTTACTCACCCATATTCACTCTCTGCATCAGTATTACACTGTATCACATGTAATAGATTCTTTATCTCTATACCTCCTCTCCCTACTCCCTTGCTTTGTTTCAGGTCCAGCTTCTGCATGTAGAGCAGGAAGCTATGGAGATAAGTAGCCAGCAGGACCTTGAACGTAAAATCGCTGGCCTCCGGAATGAAGTGCAGGTGCAGATTATGTTGCTTTATGCCATTGTATTGTGCTATGTAGATGATATACAATACAGTTCATTCATTCTTCTTCTCTGTATTTTTGGTATACAGTGCATGGAACACACAGTGTTGTGTCTGGAGGAGCAGCAAGACGAGTTTGATTTTAAATACCAAACTCACAAGATGGAAGGTAAGCAGATTTAAAAGTTCTGGTTATATTTGCATGCTCTGATAATGTTCTCATAGGATGAGTAAAACAGTGACATGAATCACAGCTACATGTTCTCTTTCTCTTTGGTCTCTATTACATGGAAACTGTTATGCCACCATGGAAACTGTTATGCAGCTGTGGTTGATGAGACTGTGAGAAAAGATCAAATGAGAGTTCTTCAGCTACTTGTCAACAGACTGAATGAATTTAGAAAGGTATGGAGTTTTTCATGTTCTTAAATAACATGTCTTTAGTCTATTTATTTTAATATATACTGTATATTTATTTATTTGTTTGTCTTACACAATCACCTTCTTAGAGCACACTGGCCGACCTAAATAAGCTCCTGAAGAGGACTGAGGACGTGATCGACACATTGGTCAAGAAGGAGCTGGTGGAGTGGCAGAGGAGGCAGCAGAAAGCCTGCATTGGTGCTCCAGACAACGTTTGTGTGGATCAGCTTGAGAAGTGGTATGTTCATCTTCACCTGCTCCACATCAGTTTTAATCTTTGGTGTTTACTGTAATAGTTTGATCAATGATCCCTCTGTAAATGAATTGCTAGGCTGGAGAAAACTGTGATGCCATTATTTCAATTTCATAAAACATGTCTTATAGCTGAAATTTCTGACTTCACCATCTGCTATTTGCGTTTCTCATCAGTTTTGCTCCTTTCCTCTTGTTTTCTAGGTTCACCAGTGTGGCAGTGTGTCTGTTCCAGGTGCGGGAGTTTCTTGGCAAGCTGGAGGAGCTCGTCGGAAAAGTGTCCTATGACAACGACCCGGTGAAGGCCCAAAAACCCGTACTGCAGAATAGAGCAGACACTCTTCTGAAAGCCTTACTGAAGAGGTCTCTCTTTTAGGACACACTTTCTTAACTTTCTTGCTCTCTTATGATTTTCCTGAGAGGTTTCCTGACATTACTGTTTTACTGTTTCTTGAAGTTCATTTGTAGTTGAGACTCAGCCATCCATGCCTCAGGGGAAAGGACCCCTGGTGCTTCGCACAAACGTCCAGTTCTCTGTCAAGACCAGGTAAGTGTGCCACTCAAGGCAATCACTACAATGCTATGTATTTATTTAAAAACACTTTTAATACATGTATGTAGCACATTTTCAAGGTACACTCTGAACAGCGCGTTCATTGTGATATGCTAATCAGTAGCAGTTTTTAACTATATATAAAGCAATTAGTATGATAGGTGGGCATGTCGGAAGACAGAGAAGAAGCTACCAGGATGTAGTGGATTGTAGTTTCCCACATAAACAGTACAGCAGTGCTGAACTGAAATGAGGATAGTTAGGAGAACAGTATTTTCCTGTTTTCCACATTTTCCTATTTAGTATCATTATTTTTCCAAAGTTCTGAAATCTTACACCTGACTTTATATTTTCAGACTTCTCGTTAAGTTTCCTGAGCTGAACCACTCCATGAAAGTGAATGTGTCCATGGACAAGTGAGTTTTCTCATTCTTAACTTCAAACAATCACGGGTCCTGTTTTGTTGCCCTTGTGGTCACTGCTCTGTTTTTCTCGCCCTTGAAATTAGGGATGCTCCTCAGATCAAAGGGTGAGTTTTCTAAAATATGTTTCAGCTTCCATTTCAAGTGGTATTTCCAGAAGAACTGTTTTGAGCTTTCACATTTGAAGTGAATTTTTTCTTACTAAATCCCGTATGTTTGTAGATATCGGCGTTTTAATGTTCTGGGGACCAAAACCAAGGCCTTGAACATGGCAGAGAGCCAGAGTGGAGGCATGGTGGCAGACTTCAGACATCTGGTGAGTGATAATTATTTGAAAAAAAAGAGAAGTTCTTACATGACAAAGGAATCTCTAAACAACAATTAAATATAAAGCCTTTTATACAATTCTGACAGTTATTCAAAAGTAAAATCATGTCATATACTCTTTGTTGATGTTGTCAAGTACACATATAAAGAAGTCCCTGGCAGCTAAACTGAAGCGATTAAAAGATGAAAACTTAAAACAACAATAATCAGTCTTTAATCTCAGGTGGTAATATTTTTGTTTGACTTTTTTTGTGTACTATTTGTCTGTAGACTCTGAAGGAGCAGAAGTGTGGAGGTGGTGGCAAAGGAGTCAGTGATGTGAGTTTACTTTGGAAGCCCAAAGTTGTGCTGTCTTTACAGTTTAACAGTAATTCTTAATTAAAGAAGATGTGTGACAACCAAATACTGATGTGTGTGTGTGTGTGTGTGTGTGTGTGTGTTTTGGTGTTGACAGATTTCTCTCAGTGTTACAGAGGAGCTGCACATCATCTACTTCCACACTGTATTTGAGTTGAAGGGCCTGTCGGTTGAATTGCTGGTAGAGCATCTTCTGCTTCTTTTCTTGCTATGTGGCTGGCTTTAAAAAATATCATTAACCTACATGTGTTCTGTATAAATATTACGCCTTATATTGCTTTGCTTATTGTTTTGATTATGGAAATATGCCAAATAAAAAGTTGTTTTTTCCCTGGCACCCAACCTAGGCTTCTTCCCTCCCGGTGGTCATCATCTCCAACTCCAGCCAGCAGCAGAGCGCCTGGGCGTCTGTCCTCTGGTTCAACATGCTCAGTCAGGACACCAAGGTGAGAGATCCTAATACGTAATGCGCGTTATGTAGCATTTTGCAGTTTAGTTGTGCTATTTGAAGGAATTAGAAATGAATTTTTTATATATTTGTTAATGTGCATCTGTTTCTCCAGGACGTCATGTTCTTTGCCAACTCTCCTGCAGCCCCTTGGCCACAGTTTGGAGAGATGTTGAGCTGGCAGTTTCTCTCTGCCACTAAACGTGGCCTGAATGATGCTCAGCTGGATATGATTGCACACAGACTCTTTGGTAAAGTTCTGCTTCAGTTGCTTGTCTTTGCTTATTTTTGTGCTTGTTTTGTCTATGAATTGGGCTGAATTAAATTATCTATGAGTCAAACATCATATCGAGAAAAAAACCTTAGTCTGATTTTGATGCAAGTTACTAAAATGCATTTAGCATTTTAAGAGTGATTGGCTTTACATTGGGCGGCACGGTGGTGCAGTAGTTACCACTGTCGCATCACAGCAAGAAGGTTGTGGGTTTCCCGGCCTTTCTGTGTGAAGTTTGCATGTTCTCCCCGTGTCTGTGTGGGTTCTCTCCGGGTGCACCATCCAAAGACATGCAGGCTAGGTTGATTGGTGACCCTAAATTGGTAGGGTGTGAGTGTGATGTCAGCTGGGATTGGCTCAAAAAAGAGTGTTCACAGTGATTTGTCAGATCATGATAAGAATTGCACACTTTAATTCAGCATCCTTCATGTGTGTTTTATTATAGATGAGTATATAAAGAGTTGCATAATGCATCATTTATTTTCTGTCCCACCAGGAACGAGGCAGAACTATGACACCAGCAAAGTAGCTTGGTCAAAATTTTGCAAGGTAAGAATACTGAATCCTGTGTGGGTTGAAGGATTATCTTTAACCCTGATCACTCAACTCAAAATATCTCAACTTTGGTGATCTCCTGGCATAATATGCATGTCAGCTACCTAACATGGTAAACTAAGGTATTGTGCTAAACATTCGCATTTTAATCATTGTGACCTTGTCAGCCAAGCCGACAGCCACTTCTCTTTCAACCCCTACCATTTTTGCAAATATAATTCACTGTTTAGGATCAAAAACAAAATGAACCTCATCTTTTATCCATCTTACTATTTTGGTTTTCTTTACAATGAGCATTTCAACCTCACAGAGCTGCCATGACTGTAGATTCTTAGTCTTGTTTGTTTATAATTTATGAATATACCCTGTACTTATCACCTTTTCTACCCATTTTGTTACAGGAAAATACACCTGACACTTTCTATGTGTGGTTTGATGGCATTTTGGTGATGGTGAAAACATACCTTGAAGACCTGTGGAGGGATGGGTATGTTTTTCTCAACATAGTCTAATTTGGGTTTAACACATTTAGCCCACGCCTTTAATTCCTGGGAAACGGGCGAAGTCTCTTGCTTTATGTAAGACTTTTTATCTGCCCTGTAGCCACATCATGGGTTTTGTGAGCAAAGGCAAAGAGAAGGCCCTCCTGAAGAAAAAACAGAGAGGCACATTCTTGTTGCGATTCAGTGAAAGTGTCATTGGAGGAATCACCTTCTCTTGGGTGGAAACCACCATGACTGGTGAGATTTTTTTATTCCATAATGATTCAGTAAAATACTTTCAAATTGTTGCATTACAGACACAAATACAAACAAGCTACTATCTGTAAACTCACTGTCTATTTTAGGTGAGCCTGACGTGAAGACAGTCCAACCTTTCACCAAAGTTGACCTTTCCCAGATCCCCTTCCATGAAATCATCAGGAATTTCCAGATCTTAGAAGCAGAAAATATCCCAGAAAACCCTCTACTTTACCTTTATCCCAACACTCCTAAAGATGAGGCTTTCGGAAAATACTACTCTGAGAAGACTGGAAGTAAGGGTATAAAATGATACTTTCTGCTTACCACATTTTTGGAAAAGAAATCTGTACAACAAAACAAACTTGCAGTGGTCATGGGTAAAATTACACTACGTTGATAGGGTTGGAGATGAATATGACTCATTAAATCACATCTAAATTCATTGTCTTTCAGATGACAATCCTTACATAAAATACATCAAAACGAAGCTGGTGTTTGTTTCAAAGGAGTAAGTATATTATTAATTTTTCTCCAGGCTGGTCCAAAGTATCTTGCTTGTTTGAATTAACACAGAACTGTGTTTTATATTCTAAATGTGTTTTTTAAACAGGAACAACAAAATGAACTTGCTTCATCTAAGAAGTAGTGTACCCACGCCCTTTTTCTTATGTCATGAGCAACTGGTTGTAATGACTGTTTGTCATTGGTCATGTAGGAACACACTGGAGGCTAGGTCACCCATGTCCTCTGACATGGCACAGGGTGAAGGCATGGAGCCAATGAATGGCCTGTGTGGAGAGGCAGCTGGTGAGTCATGGCTCTCCTTGCTGTCCCATCCAGCTGAAAAGCCAGCCCAAATCTGATCCGTGTTGCCCTCTTCTGGCCTTGTGGTGTAGGAATTTAATGGGGAAGATGCTGTCTAGGTAGATGTCAGGCGACAGCTATGAAATTATTCAGATTCTTACTCGCATCCTGTAGGGCTGTTGGCTGCTTCTACTGCATGCACATGCTCTGTAGTCTGCTCTACTGAACATAAAATCTTACAGGTGTGGAGGTTATTGCTTTGACAGGGTTCCCGCGGCTCCTTAAATTTTTTTAAAAGGTCTTAAATTGAAGTCGGGGAAATGAAGGTCTTAAATTTACCGCAAATTTGCTGTAGGTATTAAATTTGCCGATGGTGCGTTTAAGGCTGGTGAGAAAACTGTCACCCACAGTCGACTAAAACGCCTAATTAGCGTGTATTTGTATGTTTGGTTGTTTTTTTTTTTTTTTTTTTTTTTTTAGTAATTGAATTGATGTTACGTTAACGTTAGCTGCAGACCTTGACGTCTGGTGTCATATTATCGACAGTTGTGGCTGCAAGATTGGGAGACACAAGTTAAAGTGGTTGGAGGAAGATCCGGTCGTTCTGTCAACAATGCATTTGCATCCATGTGGTCATGGTGTCCCAGACCACCTCCAGAGGTCGTTTTGCTGATTGGATCACATCTGTCCTCAATGGGTCTCGGGTGCATTTACACATGTACTTTCATGTGGTCAAGTGCTACCTGATCACAATCAGATCACCCAAAATACATTTTAATGCCAGTTGTAAACAGCCTCTATGTTCCTCGATTTGTAATATGCAAAGTCATTCACCTGTGGTGAAAATAAAAATGCCAAATATGGCATTGCGTCGTACATTGAGATCAAACGCTCGTCTCTTTTCTATCAAAGAAATTGTTTCAAGATTTGAGGTCTTAAATTTATATTTGTTGAGGTCTTAAAAAGTATTAAATTCCACTTTTAAAATGGTGCAAGAACCCTGTTTGAGCAAACCTGTTTTTATTTATTTACTTTTATAGCGTTTTGATTCTACCTTCTGATGCTTGAATACTTTTGCTTGGTGCATGTACTAAAATCAATTAAAGGACACTGTAAAACGTCATATAGCCATAGTCCAACAGTAATGATCAACGGTTACGCGGCTATATTAATAATTTCATTGCTATTATTGCTGGGAGTAATTGTCTTGGGGTCTCCTCTGGTCATCTACCAACTGCTAAGAATCAAGAAATAGTTGTTTACATGTTAATTACAGAGCAAGGTTATTTGTTTCCCTGTCTTTAAGCTAAGCTAACCGACTGCTCGCTGTAGCCTTATATATAATGGACAGACATGAGAGTGGAATCAATGTTATTATGAACTTTCAGACAGAAAGTGAATACGTGTACATGTATTTTCCAAAATGTTACACCATTCCTTTAATGACGAAAAAGAAAGAACGGTATGAGTGCTGTACTTAAACTTATATTTCAGTAAGTGTTTTTAATTAAGCTATTTAACAAGTTAAGCAAACTGAAAAATACACACCCTGAACATAAAGTGTTTGAAATGTGGCATACCACATTACATTTTTTGTCACTTTCTTTTCCTCATCGAAAGCAATACCAGAAATAAACACCGCCACGACTGCAGAAACAGTAACTTTCTCTTGTCGCTTTCTCTGCTTTCAGAACCAAACGGGAATCCTCATCCTTTAAATTCGCCTTTGGAAACATATGACCCTGATCCCATGCTGTCTGCCCCTGTTGGAGCCGTGGACGAAGATTTACTGATGTATCTCAACAACCCCAACCTCTTTCTTGACTCTGACGTCTTGCAAGATGAGTCGGTGCTGCCTGATTTCAGTCTTCAAGGGTTTAACTGCCTGCCCCCACAATCCTGCGGAAGTATTTTCCAATAAGCCCCAGTTGTGTAAATTTAACCAATGCACTGTATCATTCAGCGAGAGCTTTACTTTTAGCCAGGGATGAACCGATCTGATACTGATATTGGATATCAGCTTGATACTGACTCAAATAGCTGGATTGGATATCGGTATGACAAGGGGGCCCATCTATTCAATTAAATTATGTGCATACTATGCGATGCATCTGCTGTGCACTGGTAGACCCAAATGTTTTGCTAGGAGAGCTAATACAGCATTTTGTTTCAGAAAGTTAGGAAGCAATGTTTAAGTCATTCATGATGTTGCCGTACACATAAAATAATTATTCTTAGTCTCTTCCTCACAGTGAGGAATACAGATTATTAATTTTAGACTGGTGTCTGATACCTAAAGCTCATGTATTGGTATCGGGACTGAAAAAGTCAGATCGGTGCATTCCTACTTTTAGATACTTGCATTACAATATCCATGTCACAAATTTGTAGCATGCATAGCAAAAGCAGTATTAACATGGTAGTTTGCTTTGAATACTGTTTTAATTTGCAATACCTGACACCCCTCTGATAATCCTGACAGTCAATATTTTAAACAGCTTTTTCAGTCAGAATTTGAGAGCTTGTGTGCACTTTTATTGTGTTGTGCTGTTGTTGAAAATAATTCACTGAGACTGAAACAGATTTTGCTGGAGACCCCTTGGAACCTCCTCAAGGACCCCTGAGGGGTTATTTTCTCCATAAAATGATCTATTTTCACCCAAATCATTGAATGAAGTTGTTGTTTGTGTACAGTAATCAGTGAGGCCCAGAAACAGTCCGAGGTACCATGCTGTTGCTAACTAGCTAATGTTAACTCTGGGCCGCTAAAAGTTTGAAAAGATTGATTGATGAATAGATGTGATAATGTTACTGGTTGAAAATTGGTTGGCTTACATACACACATGTGCTATTTGGTTTTACAGAAGAAAACATGGTTGGATTTGGAAGAGTACATAGAAATTGATTTCATTTTTAGGCTATGTTGTTAAATAGGTGCACATTATTGCTGGGGATGCGATCTAAAGGGGGTAAAAGGCATTTTTATTTCATCTACACTTGAAGTTTCTTTTTCATTAGAGTACATTGCGTAGACTGCACATAATTTATTGTTTCAATGTTTGTTTTGATGTTGCCACTTAAAGCTTGTTTAAACTACTGAAACATGTTTATGTCCCTTTAAGTTATATGCTTTTATATTAACCTGCTCTTTTAAATCAAAATGAAACGTTCTCACCAATAAAAGGGAAATGGAGATCATGATTGTATGTTTGCTCTGTTGATAACTGAATGTTGTGAATGAACAAATATGAGAGGTTGTTGTTGTTGATGGTGCAGTGGATAAGATGCATGCCTTTGGTGTGAGAGACCCGGGTTAAATTCCCCATTGTGACCCATCTACCGATGTGTCCCTGAGCAAGGCACTTAACCCCTAGTTGCTCCAGGGGCGTGCTACCTCTGACATGTATAGCAATTGTAAGTCGCTTTGGATAAAAGCGTCAGCTAAATGAATAAATGTAATGTCATGAGTCTATGATCACACTAGCCAATTTATGACGCAGATTTACTGCAAACTGTAATGCCAAACTTTTGAAAATTGTATGTTTAAACTGCATACAATTATTACAACTGTATACTACAGAGATTTCATGTTCTGCAATAATTTACTGCTGCTACTGTATTGCACATTATGGTTAGGGGTGCTGTATGCAGCAGTTTTTGGCAAACAATGCTAGCTTCCCGCCCAGGCAGCGACAAGTAGCTAGCAAACTAACATTAAAGAATCAGACATTTTTCACCAGAATTACGTTAGTGGAGAACAAGAGCTCTGCATACTACCTGGTTGTCAGAAACACAACTCCAAATGTTGCTCTGTGCCATTTTGGTTGTGTCAGGTTGAAGGTATTTTTTGCTAATGTGTCAGTTAAGCTACGTAAATGTTAGCTTAACGTTGGTGTGGTGGTAAATTACCTGTAGTTATACCGGTACATTAAATGTTTTTAGGTTTTTACCCATAGTGGCTACATTTCAATCAGAGCAGCGTTAAAGAGGCCATGTGCAGTTTTCAGTGGCCACTAGTGGTGAGGTTTATGATTGCAACCACTACCCACAACCAAGTTCATGCGCGTGCTCATGCGTGCGCTCGAACTAATGAGCAAGCCCAAACAGAGACGGCACAGTGGAGAAAGCATCACACAAAATGCTGGAAACTCAGGTAAACTGGAGATGTTTTCTGGGTAAACTCCCGGTGCAAGGTCACAATAATATTTTTATAAACTTGATGTTGAACTAATCCATGCTCTTTGCGAGATAATGTTACATTGGCTGCATGAATGTTATAGCTGGTGGCATAGTGTGTTGTCTTTTTTGCATGTAGCAGCTGTAATCTTGGTGGTTGCACACCGAAAGGTAAAAGTTATAACTGACTGAACTAGTGCACAACTAATAATTAAGTATTTTGGCCTTAAGGGTTCCTTGTGTTAGTCCTTTTTAAGATAAATCTCATACTAACAGATGGTAGAGTGTGAGTATACATGAGTATAACTATAATTTACCCTCAATAAATGAATGCCTTGACACAACTCAAACATGCACACTCCACCCACATATGAAAGGCCAGCTCACGTGAACCCTTTTAATTGTCATGCACTGTCAGCATGTAAGAGGCAGTACAGAGTTGAGACACGGGTTAGACTCATAAGTTCCTGAATTACTGAAATACTGCATGTTGTGTTAGATAGGAACATTCTGTGCTGATTTTGTAACATTAGTGGTTTCTCATATCATGTAACAGACTAAAAGACCTAAAAGAGGTCGTTCTGAATGCAACTGTGGATTATGTATTACAAAATAGACTTTATTACATACATAACATAACACATAACATATGTAATACATACTGTAAAAGCAGGTAACAAAAGAGTAAGACATGGAGGTTGTGAAAGAAATAGAGCAGCTTGAAATGTTGGTGATAAAACATAAATGTTTTTTTGTCAAATTCAATCTGTGCTTCTGTTACCATATGAGCTCTAAGATCCTGTCTAGCTTCTTCCCCTCTTTCGCCTATTTAATCACACAGGAAATCTACGTAAAAGTTAATAGTGGCTGACATACGGTGCACTGTGTCTATCTTGTATTTCTTGAGAATAATATCATACTGGGTTTATATCAGGAGAAACATTTTTAAATATGAGTTTCAGGAAATTAGGATCTCAGAGAGCCCGCCACCGGGTCCAGAGGCTGATGAATGGTGCAGCGGCCCTGGTGAGCAGCACGTGGTAGGCCTGTCGAAACTGTCGGTTCATGACAGCATAGAGCACGGGGTTGATACAGCTGTTGAGCCAGGTGAGGTTTGCGCAGAACATGTGCAGTACCTGTGGGGCGCGGTTATTTTTGTCTGCTATGTTGAGCAATATGAACGGGACAAAGCAGAACACAAAACACAGAAAAACTGTGAAGCACATGCGTGTCACACGTCTAAATTCACCATCATCTCCTGAAGTCGCTGATTTGGAAGAGGATGCTGCAGTGGTGGGAGCAGTTCTGGTTACAGGTGGAGTAGGGATGATTTCAGGGGGAGGCTTGTTGGCTGCTGATGTATTTGAGGCCTTGGCAGAGCTCTTGTCACAGGTGATCTCATCCTTCTTTTGTTCTAGGTCCACCTGGCTGCTCATCTCACAGCTGTGTGTGTTGGCCGTGCCACTCTCTACACCACTGTCATCAGTCCCTTGTGCTGAAGAAGAAGGTGGTTTCGTCCTGGATGATCGTCGGCTGAACCTGTAGCGGAGAAGCGCCTGTGAGGCGATCTGGACACGCCTGTAAATGAGGAGGTAGAATACACCAACGCAGCCCAGACCGATAAAAAAGTAGAAAAAGAGGAGGATGGTGGTGTAGGGGCGACCCCTGGTCCGATGGAAGCTGCATGTGCACACCTGTGGCACGAACACATAAGCAGGCCATATCGGGCCAAAGCTGGCCAGGCCTAGTGCCCACGCTGAGATCAGGAGTAAAATGAGACCACGGTCTGAGAAGACACGCTCAAACACAGCCCTTTTTGCAACCAGGAGATATCTGCCCACTGCCACCAGGCAGAGGGTGATAATGGAGACAGAGTTGGAGAGGAAGAGGAGCAGGCCGAAGATGCTGCACCAGAGCTGACCACTGCGCCATCTGAGGTGTAGATAGGAGTCAACCGAGATGGGCTGCAGTATGGTGCAGTACAGCAGATCAGCTACCGCCAGGTTGACGATGAGCACATTGAAGCGAGTCCTCAGACGTGGGTCTAAGGCGAAGGCTATAATGGTCATCAGGTTTCCCACCGTACCAGTGACGGTCACAGCACATCCCCACAGCACAGCGAAGTACCGGTAGACCACAACTGAAGGACTGTAGCAGGAGAAGAGGTCATCCTCTGTTTGGTTTGTGTGGTTCATCAGCATTCTGTCGACTAAAAGGAACCAGAACATAGGTTTACTTCTTTGTCATGTGCTCACGTAAAGTCAAATTCAAACAGAAACTTTTGCAGTGTCAACAGTGCCACAGGTGAAAAGGAAATTGACAGGTGCTCTAGATAGTTCACCACTTCCTTTTGAACAATGTCTTCTGTCTGACAGAAACCTTTGTTTGTGGTCCTCAGTTGTATTCATTGTTTCACTGTATTTTTATAAGTAAGTATTTTTTTCTCCCAATTTTAGGATTTTCATTTACAGATAATGTGTACAACTGCTGTGGCTCTAGTAACCTGACATATAGTATCTCACAAAAGTGAGTACACCCCTCACATTTCAGTAAACATTTGATTATATCTTTTCATGTGCCTTTTCATGTGGTGATGGTGCAGTGGATAAGGCACATGCCTTTGGTTTGAGAGACCTGGGTTCAATTTTGTATAACAGTGTAAATTTGCTGTCCCCTAAAATAACACATCACACAGCCATTAATGTCTAAACAACAAAAAGCAACAAAAGTGAGTACACCCCTAAGTGAAAATGTATAAGCTCATACAAGCTGTACACTCACTACTTTACATTGTAGCAAAGTGTCATTTCTTCAGTGTTGTCACATGAAAAGATATAATCAAATGTTTACAGAAATGTGAGGGGTGTACTCACTTTTGTGAGATACTGTACATTGTCGGGCAAGCATAAATAATTCCTCAATATTAGTCATTATAAATAAGGAATGAATACAACAGAAAACAGGTTTTATGTACAGTCTGTAACAATAACTCAAAAATCCTGAAATCATTTGACATTCATATTAAGTCTTTTCATCTCCGTTATAAAAAATTCATGTAACTGAGGAGAATACTGCACATAGATTATGAGTCTGAATTAGTGAAACATAGTGTACAATAAAGTTAGAATTTAACATAGATAGAAAATATATGCTGAAAAAACCTCCAAGGGATTTTTATTCATTTTTATTTAAAAATGTATTGGTAAGGCAAATAAAAGCCCCCTATTTTAAAACAAATATTTGTGAATTTCTCACCTTAAACCTGAAGATTTCTGCCAGTCAACTGTTGACTTGTAGCTGTGTCTTTCTCTGTAGTGATCTGGTCGGCTTCCTGTTGGTATTACATTTGTGTCCTCTGTCTTGCGTTAATATCCTCTGCATGAAGAAATGGTATGAAGTAGGGCTTTTCCAGTTCGTGTCTAAATTCAGGAAGAGAGATCTTGCGCATTTCCTTCAGAACATTTTTAAAAATATTACAAATGGAATAACCCAATGTGGAAATGTATTCAATTACTGAAATAATTTTGGTCTGTTTGTAATGTCGACATACTGCATGTGTAAACAGAACAGAACGTGACCTCAGTGGATGAAATATTTTGATCATTACTGTGTTAAACATTATCCAATATTGGAGTATGTGTACAACTAAAACATTTTGTGATATGTTGTTTTCAGTAGAAAACAAATATGTATATAGAAATATCATGAAATAAATAAAAAATATCAATATATACATACATTCACCAATCAACATTGGTTACACAAATCCAGTTTAATAATTTTGTATGTAATTTTGCTTTTGTGTAACAATAAGGAAGCTTCATAATTAACCTCATCACAAACTATAAGATAAATCAGGATATTCTCAGTTTAGTTCAGAGGATCAACCATCTTGGGTTATTTGCCTGCTTGTAGTATGGGACAGTGTGCCGGATGTGGTTCGTATAGTAAAAAGATGCACATAATGCAGATACCTGCTGCTGCTATGGTCATACAATCATTCAATACGTTATCCGGCTGTGCTGTTGAAACTAATCAATTAAGACACTGAAATCTTTCTGTTCAACTGTGCAATGTGGTGCAGATGAGAAAAGAAAGTGTGGATAATCATTGATAGCTGCAAAGTGCTCAAGTGGCAATTACGTCTTCACTCTAACAGTTTTGATTAATCAGTGATGGGCACAAGAGGCCAAATGCGGCAAGACACAATGTCATTTTGACTTTTTTTTTTTGTTGTTGAACATATATATCCTGTTTCTGTTTTATCTGAGTAAATATTGACCATTACATACAGGCCCAAGTGTGAAAATCTAGACACACAGTGGAGCTGCATGTGAGCAAAGGCAGAGCAAGTAATGAAATTGCCAGTGACGTATTCCCTTGTAGATCACAAAAACAGGGCTAAAGTGTTGCTAAAATGCAGCTACTGTGTCTAACCTAATAGACACGTGTTTGTTGCCAGTGATGATTTTCATGTTTACTGAAGCAGAAATTAACAACATATTAAAAACATCAAAAAAGAGGCGTATAGTTTAGAGTCAGATACAGAGTCATGCGTTGCAGTTCGGAGGATTGACAAAGTCCATGCTTGATAGAAACTTATTTATTAGTTACTTTCAAACAATCTGCAAAGTCCATGTGATGATGGGCAAGTAATTAAGTGATACACCCACTCATACCATGAAGTTAACCTGCCGTTCTCACCACTGGGTTGCAGTAATGTCCCTGCTGTAGTTTCTCAAGCTGCAAATGCATAATGGTTCATGTTGTGTGAAATTGCTTTTGTGCACATGACATGTTTGAATATTGCCTTGATATTTATTATCATTAGTCATGTAACACATTACATCAGAGTGAATATCATAACATTAATATGTGTTAACCTCACTAGTGTAAAACTGTTTTTTTTTTTGTATTTGCTGTGAGTCAGCTACCTCCATTTACAGTATTTGACCATACAACCAACCATGAACTTTGTCCAGTAACACATACTTTGGTACTTCATATGTTGTACTTCCGCATATCCACAAGACACTTACATAAACTAAGCTCATACTCACAGTTTAAAATGTTTTTAATTCCTCAAATTAATCTTGATGCCATTTTTATATGTGGTTTATGACTCCCCCCCCCCCCCCCCCCCCCCCCCCCCCACACACACACACACACACACACTCACACACACTCACACACTTTCTTCTGCTTTTTCTCCATCCTTCCTCATTTCTACTTTTTAAATGAATCACCAAGACAAACAACTCAAGACTTAATAGTGGCTGAATGCAAGTTGCGCTACATTATTTCATCAGAATATCACTGTCATTATATGAATAGAAACACCAATTTACTAGGTCCAGAGGCTGGTGAATAGCGTGGCAGCCCTGGTGAAAAGAACGTGGTAGGCCTGTTGAAACTGTCGGTTCATGACAGCATACAGCACGGGGTTGATACAGCTGTTGAGCCAGGTGAGGTTTGCACAGAACATGTGCAGTACCTGTGGGGCACGATTATTTTTGTCGACTATGTTGAGCAATATGAACGGGACAAAGCAGAACACAAAACACAGAAAAACTGTGAAGCACATGCGTGTCACATGCTTTATTTCCTTATCATCTCCTGAGGCTGGGGTGTGGGACGAGGATGCTGCAGTGGTGGGAGCAGATGTGGGGGAAGGTGGTGTAGGGACGATTTCAGGAGGAGACTTGTTTGCTGATGTATTTAAGGCCTTGGCAGTAACCGGGGTAGACTGGGGGAATTTTTCACAAATTATCTCATCTGTATGTTGTGCTGGGTCCACCTGGCTGCTCATCTCACAGCTGTGTGTGTTGGCTGTGCCACTTTCTACACCACTGTCATCAGTCCCTTGTGCTGAAGAAGAAGGTGGTTTCTTCCTGGATGATCGTCGGCTGAACCTGTAGCGGAGCAGCGCCTGTGAGGCGATCTGGACACGCCTGTAAATGAGGAGGTAGAATACACCAACGCAGCCCAGACCGATAAAAAAGTAGAAAAAGAGGAGGATGGTGGTGTAGGGGCGACCCCTGATCCGGTGGATGCTGCATGTGCACACCTGTGGCACGAACACATAAGCAGGCCATATCGGGCCAAAGCTGGCCAGGCCTAGTGCCCACGCTGAGATCAGGAGTAAAATGAGACCACGGTCTGAGAAGACACGCTCAAACACAGCCCTTTTTGCAACCAGGAGATATCTGCCCACTGCCACCAGGCAGAGGGTGATAATGGAGACAGAGTTGGAGAGGAAGAGGAGCAGGCCGAAGATGCTGCACCAGAGCTGACCACTGCGCCATCTGAGGTGTAGATAGGAGTCAACCGAGATGGGCTGCAGTATGGTGCAGTACAGCAGATCAGCTACCGCCAGGTTGACGATGAGCACATTGAAGCGAGTCCTCAGACGTGGGTCTAAGGCGAAGGCTATAATGGTCATCAGGTTTCCCACCGTACCAGTGACGGTCACAGCACATCCCCACAGCACAGCGAAGTACCGGTAGACCACAACTGAAGGACTGTAGCAGGAGAAGAGGTCATCCTCTGTTTGGTTTGTGTGGTTCATCAGCATTCTGTCGACTAAAAGGAACCAGAACGTAGCTTAACAGATTTCAGACAGCGAGAGGTTGCCCGCCACCATCTCAAATGTTTTAATGTTTTCCAGCCATGCTGCCGAGTTTGCCAGCAGTGCAGTTTCAAAGAAAGAAGCAAACACAGGCACAACACTGAAAGAAACAATGCAGGAGGTTATTTTACTAGTATTTGAGTTCCCTGAATTATACACCTCATCTTTGTCACTGAACAAACATCTTAAAGGAGAACTCTTGGGCAATTTTTAAGTTAATCTTGATCGTTATACCTTTGTGAGTACTGTCTATAGAAAAAAAAACTAACCGGATTGGTTCTTGCAAGACGGAGCTGTCTGTCCAACATGAACAGGGCCCTTATATGACAACAAGATGCGTTTAGCAACTTAGCCATTGTTTAAATTCACCTAAATAGTGTTTTAGACGGCTAGTTGTAGTCTCGCGCTGAAGTCCTGTGGGAACTTAGTTGTTGCCGGAAAAAGGTAAATAGCAGTGTGCAGGTGGGAGGGACGTAGTGTGAAGAGTGAAGATAGGAGTTGCTCACAAGTGAAGAAGAAATGGTTGGCGTTTGTGCCGTTACGAATTGTGGCAACAGAATGCGAAAATACAAGAACTTAAATTTTCATCGTCTTCCTTTCCATGACCTCGAGATTCTGCAGTTGTGGCTAGTTGTACTTCAACTTGATGTGCAAACTCCCATACAAGTACTACACGCTAAAGATTACCGCATTTGCAGCGAACACTTTGACAAGGATGACTACACAGACACAACACAGCAGGGCTGGTTGAAGAAAAATGCCATTCCGTGGACGAACAGGGGTGCAACCACTGTGGAGGTAATGTAAACTTTATTTATCCTTCCATTTAGGCACACAAAGCGTGAGGAGAGATGTGCAGTAATACCTTTACCTTACCTTTACCTTTCTCCGGCAACAACTGAGTTCCCTCAGGACTTCAGCGCGAGACTACAACTAGCCGTCTAAAACACTATTTAGGTGAATTTAAACAATGGGTAAGTTGCTAAACACATCTTGTTGTCATGTAAGGGCCCTGTTCATGTTGGACAGACATTTTAATTGCATTTTGTGTCTGTTAAGAGGCACAAAGACACTCTTTATGTATATGCCCACATAACTGCCGTTTTAGCTGAGTGGGAGCTCTGGGCATTAGCTGCAGCAGCTCCGTCTTGCAAGCACCAATCCGGTTAGTTTTTTTTTCTGTAGACAGTACTCACAAAGGTATAACGATCAAGATTAACTTAAAAATTTCCCGGAGTTCTCCTTTAATGAAGAAAAAATGTTTTGGAGCAACATGAGCTTCTTCTTTATCATCACCTGATTTAGCTGTACAGTGAAGATATTAATTAACTAAAGTGAAAGACTGCAGCCATGTCTATCTTTCTCTAAACTTAATAAAATATATATGCTTTTATTAGCAGGTACTGCTGATCACAAATTAAATCATGTCTGAATCTTTTCATTTATTCATTGATTAATCGTTTAGTCTAAGTCTAATGTCTAATTGTTGAAAATTGTGAAAAATGTCCATGACAAGTACCTAGAGGCCAGGGTGACCTCTTTAAATTGCTTGTTTTGGCTCACAGTTCAAAACCCAAACAATGGCATAATTTCGTTGTCTTAAAGACACGTTAAGAAAAATGTGCAGGGTTCGGTTTCTCACCTTATAGTTGATGTCTTCTGCCAGTATTTTATGTTTATGTGTAGCCTGTGGCATTCTCTGCAGTCTTGTCTTCTGAATGTCATGCTTCCTGTTAGCAGGTCTTTTTATGTGCATCCTTTTTTTTTAAAAGTAAAGTTTCATTTTCACAGTTTGCACACTGCAGTGCAACTCAGTCAACTTCTTGAACTTGATCACCAATGTGTTTGTATTGGCCTGTCATATATGTCTGTTAATAATTTATTACTATACTTGACTGTCTGTTAAAACCTTAAGTGATTTAAAATATTTAAAACTTTCAAATTGCGCACACTATGTACTCACATGATCACATTACTAAACTGGAGTACAACCAATTGCATTTCTGATTTATTGGTATTGTCATATGTCATTACATTTTTAAAAATTGAAAAGAAAATTCACCAATCAACATTGCTTACAACCATAGACTCAGTTTAATGATTTTATATAGAATTTTGTTTTAATTCAACAATTAGGAAGACCCAACATGTACCTTTTCTCATTTTTTAATAATCCACATTTACAATAATGTTTCAACACACATTTCCTAAATAACAATTCATATATTTGTAGACATTTTCTTTTTATTGCAGTTAACATGAAAAGTTAGCAGGAGTGCTTAAAGTATTGCTACAGTTTCTGTTTCCTAAAGCTTCCCTCTAATGTTTCATGAGCCATCATGAGAGTTTTCACTGGGATAGTTTAGGGTCATGTAGGGTTGGAGCACACAAGGCAGAGCAGACAAACAAAACATTTTTTTATCCCACTACAGGCCTATAATACTTCCAAAAAATGGTGTGATGGTTTTTTTTGCATACAACTACTCATCTGTATATGTGGTCCTTTTCTCTTCCTCAGTAACATAATGCTGGTGTCTTTCATCCCACTGTTTTTCACACTCCTTGTATGGCATTGTGGTGAAAATGTGGTCTGTAATAATGTGCACATAATACAAATACCTGCTACTAAAGTCACAAATCAGCCATTGTCCTGCTGTGCTCACAGTGTTAGAGCTATTCCATGAAGACACTGAAACCTTTCTGTTTTGCTCAGTGAGGTGCAGCTAAAAAAAAGGATACATTGTCATTTAAAACCTATTTAAGCCATTCACATGTAGACTTTTCACCGCAGACTTTGACTGATGTGCTTTGCGGTTATGCACGTGGTTGTGGCCATTCAGGAAGTACCAGGGGAATCATCAGGGGACCTAAGAAACTATCTTAGCATGGGTTTCTCTTTCTATTCTTATTTTTTCCAACCTTACTGCATTTTACAAAGACTGTAGAACACTGATAGCTGCATAGTGCACAAGTAGCAATTACTTCTTCAAAACAACCCCACCTCTGCCAAACCATGAATGTGGTTGATGTGCACACTAATACAGTTTTAAAAAGTGAAGTAATTTCTTCCCTTCTACTTTTCCTCTTTAATTTCCTTTATCTGTCCCACAGAGGTAAATATAGACCATATAGGCCAGATGTAGACGTGTAAAATGTAGACATACAGTACAGAGAAATGTTTACCAGTAACTGCAGAAGGAATTTGGGAATCCTTGGTACCTTTTCTCTTAATAGGCTACAAAAACCAATACATTACAGTGGCACAATCCACTATACTGTGAGAGCTACAGCGTGATACCACTTAACATCAGAGGAAACTACTATATCTAACCCATCGGGCATGTTTTTGATAACATTAATGCTTTGGATATGTAATGAACCCTTGCAGAGGTGAATATTAAAAACATAAGAGAGGTAGGGTTTGGAGTCAGATACAGTGGATCATATGTTAGATGAAGATAATTAGTCATCAGTTGAAGATTGGAGGATGCTCTCAAATAAGTCCATGCTTGATAAAAACTGTGTTTGTTTGTTAATAATTTCCTCTTCAAACTATCTGTACAGTCTACTTGATGATTGGCAGATAGTTGAATGATGAAGGGAAACTGGGGAGGATGGAAACATACAGTGTCTTTGAAATCTCTGGTTCTCCTCTGTTAACATAACAGTAGTGGTCTGCAACCACAGTACGCACCATGAAGAGTCATATTTATGCTCACTGTTTTTATTATGACGAAACAACAGCTGGAGCCGCACCAGCTAGTTTGGCTCTTGATGGCACATGGTTGCAGCCCTCCACCTCACAGTGTGCTTCTTCCTGATTCGTCCACATTCTCTCGCATTCTCTCAGTAAGGGGTGAAGAGGATCGGCCCATGCGTGGTGCGAATGGGACCTGGGGCGGGCCTCAGGAGGCTGAGGTGTGTTCCCTGTAGGAGGTGGTGATGGGGATGAGGGTGGGAGGTCGGGCCAGGAGGACGTAGTGCCAGCTGACCAGAGGAGGCTGCCGCCGCCATCGCCGCAGCGACAGCAAGAGGACTTGGTAAAAGTCCGGCCCCCAGAGTTTTTGGAATTTCCTTTGAAAAAGAGAGTAAGTAAATGTGACAGGTATTGAAGTACTGAGTTGTCCTAAAACCTAAAACATTTTTGTGGGGGAGAATTGAGAAATATGGATTATAACCATGAAAGACAATCTGAGTCTCTACCATAAAGTCTGTGCGCTTCTTGTGCCGGCTGAGAAGTGGATTAGGTTTCCCTGCAACTCCATCCCGATGCCTCCGGCTGGATATATGCTAAGACATAAAGTGAGAAAGGACAGAAATTGCATATTGAGATGGCATGGAAACGACTTCACTCAGGGTTTTGGGATCTTGGTGTGGGTTTCTCACCTGTTTTAGCTGCAGCTCTGAGTTTACTCTGACGTTGCAGATCTCACAGTGGAAGGTGCGTTCCTGAGTGTTGGGGTCAGAGGACAGCTCCCCTCCTTGCTCTGGACTGGGTTTAGGACCCAGACGTGGGTATGCTTTAATGGGTCCCAGTCCACTCCTAGCCTCCAGAATGGTTTTGTGTTTGGTACCTGGAAACAATAAAAAGGTTTAATCTGTGGTGGTAATCGAGGCCATGTTTCAGTGTAGTGCAAAATACATGTGTGTGGTAGGCTGTGTCTTTTTTTTATCACCACCCATCTACACCCAGTCAAACCAAGCAGTTTTTACCCTGCTATTGTTACCACTGAGTGGCACCAATGCACCTGCTTTAGTTTTTCAAATTTAAAATGCAGCAATAAGTGCAGAATTGCAGCCATGCCCCGGGGTGTCTGAAGTTGCTTCTAAGAGTGTATTGCATAATGCTGTTGTTTGTAGAGTTTTATTTTTCTCAAGATCTGGTGTGATGTACTTAGGAATATGTGCACTCTGACAAAGCTGTGTTGGAGTTACCTTTGTTGTGTGCCTCCAGTTGTGAGAGGGAATTAACAGCTACTTTGCACAGGGAGCAGTAGAGAAGCTTCTTGGCTTTCTCTTCCTCTGACTCTCCTGAAGAAGGGCTGGGTGCTGGGGACGGGGTATCGGGAAGACCAGCTGCTGCTGGATCCACAGGGGGGTTACCAAGGGCCGCGGAGGGGGACGGAGAGGATGGCAAAGGCGTGCTGACAGAAGGCAAGAGGGGACATGCTGCGTCTGCTGAGCTCAGTGTGGGTGTTCGGAGGTGGCTAGGGGTCAAAGGTGACTTGATAGAGTTGGGACAGGATTGGGTGTCATCTGTAAACAGCACAAAGTTTGAATAAGTTGTGGAAAGTCAACCATACAATAAACCCTTCAACACTGATGATCATGACATAAAAGTATGAAAATAGCACTGGTGCTGTGCTTGAAACTCTGCCTCTTTGAGGTGGAACACACAGCTGTGCCGGTCCATCTGCACCTGCCAGCAGGTCTGACCACCAGTGTGCCGACACCTTAGCTAGATGAAGCTTAGTGACTGACTACTCTACTTACACACCCTTAATGTGTTGTTTTTTCTATTGTCATGGTTCAATATTAAACTATAAAATCTCAATTCTTTGGATCTGTGTCCATCAAAAAGATTTACACAGGTTGTTAGAATAATGTTTAAATTAATTTCTTGGTAAACACTGTGACTCTGGTTAGTCAGAGTCACAGTGAGTCACTTAACACAAAAGCAGTGTTGTGCATCTTTGTCATTTTGTGAGTGTGTGTGTGTTACATCTTATGACACAGGTGATGCTTACCCTGCTTGTTAGGATTAGGCTCTGGGCTAGATGGAGAGGGGCCTCGTGGGGTGGGCGAAGCAGTAGGTGGAGGGTGCTGCTTGTCACCATCTTGGAAACGAGCTGTCTTGGATGTCTCGATCCCCTTCACCCTCCGAGCATGGCGGTTCCCCTTATAGTGGGCCTCTGCCTGGCTCTGGCAGAAGAACAAGACATTGTAATAAATTATTGATTTGAGTGGCCACGGCTGGATTCTTATTTCCATTTTTGACAGAACATTTCAATTTGTTCAATATGTTATCTTTATTCCCTTTTTTCTTGTTCACACCCACAAGCTTCAGTCAGAAAGCCAGTGAAGTGCCATGTGCAGACGATTTATCTGAGCAGATTCCAGTGTCCAATGAACTGTGTGCACTAGTGCCACTTGTAGCACTAGCATCAGAAATGTGATTTTTTAAATGTATTTTTTATTTCTTTTATAGGACAGAGAGACAGGAAAATTTGGGAGAGACATAAAGGGGGTGCATAGGGCCACAGGAGATTTTTTCTGTTGGCAATTAGCTTTATATTTCTGGTTAGTTGTAAAGTCATAAGCATTTAAATTTAGTAGCTAAAGATGGGCATGTCAGATGTCCTTTATCAAGCAAATGCAAAAAAAACTTCAACATATTCAAATGAGCTCTATGATCAATAGAAAGCTTAAGTACCTCCCTTCTGCTTCGCCCCATGGGATCTTATAAAAGATAATTTTGTCCGTCAAGAAAGTCACAGTTTGGTTTTGTGTGAAACTTGCAAAAAGATCTTCACTTAAGCTTCTTATTATATTATCTCTGCTTTGCTGTTGTAGAGATTTAATTACTAGCTGAGACCAGAAAATCTCAAATTTCCGGACTAGTGTCAGTGAAAAGGAGGGTTTGGACTGGGCACTGAAAGAGTAATGCTTTCACTCCGAAGGGAACTGAGTCGTGCCCAAATTTTACTGCCTGCCCTAAATCCACTCCCCTTTACATGAACAGTATACCTGTAATGTTACCACTCTAGTAATAATATGGATATTATAATGCAATAATTACTAACTAATTCTGGAATAGATCCTGGCACCCTGAGTTCTCAGTGCATTACAGAAAATAGAAAATGTTGAGCTGAGGGTTTGCAAGCCTGATGTGCTGACGAGGCTGTCGGGGACGATTAGCCTCTAGAATATTCTCCACTTCCTTCACTACTGGTGTTATCACTGAACTGGCCTGTTGAGCTGATGATCACTATTGAGTGGGTGGGATTATCTGAGTTTTATTTTAAGTTCAAATTTATTTGTCCCTGAAGGGCGACTGGTTTTGCAGCATAAAGTGCAACATAAAAAGGAAACATGAAATCACAGACTTAGCAGTACTGCATCGATGAGCAAGCCTCATCATCAGAACAGCAATAAGAACAATACAATGATGACTATCCTGCCATCCCCCTACATAAAGTATGAACAGCATAGCGTTACAATCAAAATATATCAACAAGATTGTCTAGTGACAGCAAAATTAGCATAAACATCATCCTACAAGTAGGGCTACATACTCATGATGTGCAAGCTGCCTCATTTTCTCTGCAGTGAGGAGGGAAATGGCTTTAAGGGACAATGAGAATCTGTTTGTCTTGACTGAGGGGAATGGGTAGGGATTAAAACTCCTCGTGAAGAGGGTAATCAGCAATCAGACAGGATGGAATTTGCACTCTTCATCACCTGACTGTTATACACAGGGTTCTACGTTAATGTTTTCGTTGTTGTTTTTGTTTATGTTGTTTTTTCATCAGCAGTAACGTTAATTATATAAACTCAATAAAATTTCACTGGAAATAAAGAGTGAAGTCTGTGTTCCTCCTAAACTTCAGTCACCGTCAGTATCAGTCCTTTTGTACTGTCCTCCTACTCCTCCCAGCAGCTAAGTTTACAAGAATTTGCCAAATTTAAAGATACGTTATAAACGTGACAAACAGTTGGACTACATACATACACACAGACAGCTTTCGTTTGTGACAATTGCTATTAGCCAAACTGTGCTGTGCTTGTGTAAATCACAGCTGTAGACTGCGAGATTACAGACAGAGCAGATTAAAATGTCTTTCTATATGTTTATGCTTGCTGAACATTTGTATTGATTTGTATTAATGTCCACCACGGCCTCTCTGATCTACTGTCTGCTGACTTCAATGCGTGTGTGTGTGTGTGTGTGTGTGTGTGTGTGTGTGGAGGAGCTCAGCCCCATCACAGAGAGTATTGGAGAGGCTGCAGAGTGATAATAAATTACACTAAAAGGATGTGTTAAACTCTTCTTTTTTTTTTACCACTAACCCGATCAGTCAAAAGAGTTGCTAGATTTACTTGCCCCGTGCAACTGAACAATCCTTATTGTACAGCCCCGATACAGAACAGACAGGCATCAAAAATGGGCATATCAAAAAATATAGCAAATCAAGAAGAGTTTGTGTCCACAGGTGTGTGTTTGCCTGCTTGTCCTTGTGTGATTGCATACAAGAGGATCAGTTTAAACTCAAGATATGGAAACAACAATGAAGAGTGGACATATCAGGGAGGCCTTAGTACAGGTGAAGAATTGGGTTTTTAGTTTATCAGAGTTAACGTTAAGGCAATGGGAGACGAGCGTTAAAGTTAAAATCCTTAAGATTTTCATTAAATCCACCCATATTTCTGACACTATTTCAGGGCTCTAAGCTAACCTTTTCCCCAATGAGCACAGTGAAAAATGTTCAAGTAACACAGAATTTATTAACAAACAATTTGTTTAAACAAATGTACACTACTTGTGTGTGCTTCTTCTCCTTGTGTGCAATTATGATGTTAAAAAGCAGTGGAGGACTATAAAAGTGAAGACCCTGATATCTGGACAATTACCAAAGTTTACTGTTGACTCAATAAGGTTCCTCTAAGACAAACTGAACATTTCCTACTGCTTCACATTAAAAGCATTCAACTGGCGAAACATAGGTAGGCTTTTATTATGAAGCAGACACAGGAAACACAATGTATTTTCCAAGCTTAGGGCTGACAGTGATCAAAAATGCATCCACAAAAATAGACGCTTTCTGCAATATCTGCACATGGAAACTACAATATGATTATAGTTTATACGCCAACTCCGTTCTCCTGCATGAAAGTCTGTCATGCTACACACTATACCCCATCCCTACCTTCATGCCCTTGCTTTCTGCCTCATTACACAGCTCTTGCACTGACATACAGTCAACATTGGCATGGGATGTAAATTGTGAGATTGGGCTTGGAAATCAATGTTACCCTCAAGGATAAACATGTGCATGTCAGCATCAAATGAAATCAAAGGAAAGAGTGAGGTGTTAGGGCACAAATATAGTTTGAGAAAGCTCGTCGCTAATACAGTAATACAAGATTGTGTGTGTGACTCTATGCACAAGCAGAGGCTTCCTGGGATTAGATATGTCAATGACAAGGCTGAGGGAGCCACATAAGGCCAATGACAGGTACATGTCGGGGGCTCTGCAGTGTGGGATGCTTCACTGAGGCAAATAGACCACTGGGACGTGTCCGGGATGCCTCTGTAAGCCTGAGGTATTAACTGCCAATGATAGTTACCCATATAGCCCTCATCCTGATTGGTGATGACAGAAAGGCAGATATAGCTCTGCCTGTGTAACCCAACCCCTCTGGCTGCTGCTATCCAAAGCCCTGCAATCAGACAAGAAGATGAAGCCCTACAAGTTCACCAACAAATGACAGCAGAGAGCTTGAAAGGCAGAAATTCTCAATGCACCCTCTTCTTCTTCTTTGCAGTTCACACTTTGTGCTGCTGTTCTTATTTTCCCCTCCCTTTGTGCAACTCGTAATTGTTCTTTTTCTGTTTGGGCTTTGATACTTTCACTCGCCATGTGACCTTCAGTGTCAGGTCTTACGGAATCAATAAAGGTGCGCCATCAATCAAGCATAAAAAGCTTGACAGCCTTGGTGGTGGGGGTGGGATGAGCAGAGACAATATGATGTAAAAGAGATTAAGGTGTCCGATCTTTGGAGTAAACAGGAAAAGTGAATAATTATAAAATATAAATGATTTTGGCATAGTAGGTGAAATGGACTGAGAGAACCTACGAAAGACCCTATAGAAAGGGGGATTAAGATGAACGAGGGAGCAGAGATTGGATTTAAGAGGGAGAAAATGAGAGCAACTGAATGTCCCTGAAATCCTTTTTCTCTCCAAGCAGGATGTGCTTTGATGTTTTATCTATAAAGCGACAAAGGCACAGAAAGCACAGAGAGCTAGCAGCCAAATCTACTGTACGCGGCACTGGCAGCAGCAACAGGAAGAGGGGGTGGGAAGAAGCTGGAGAGGTGGAGAGAAGGAGAGGGGACAGATGATACAGTATACCCCACAGACACAGACGGAGAAATATGAAAACTGACAAGGAAAATGGTGAGCAAACAAACTTGCCGAGCAGACAGGAGACACAACTGAAACAGGATTTGCTATGGGCCTGAAAAGGACAAGAAGAGAGAGAAAGAAAGACAGAGAGGTGTCCAGAATGGTACTGCAGTGGTGACGATGTCTAATGCAGCACGGTGTGACGTCAGCCTTGCAGCAGAGCTGAGCTAAACACTGGCAGGCTAATCTGTCCTCTGTGGCCTGAAATGAATTGCAATGTTACAATTACAACATGTGTGGCTACAGTGTAGTAGCAGTGAGAAGCACCTGCTTCTGAGTGGCCACTATCAATCAATATGCCTCTTTCACTTTGTGTAAGTACTTGAGAACTCCCATTTAACACCAACCTCCTTCATGACATAGATATGAAAGAAACTGCTGGTATTATTAATGTACTTCGGTGCCGTATGACCCGAAGAAGACTTGATGAAAATTAATGAAGAAATAAAAAAAGAGTGTTTGCGTCTGCCTTTGAACTGCAGCACAGCCAGCTTGAGAAAGCCAAGTACTGTGCTGTAAGCAGAGTATTCCTTCATTATTAAAGAATGTCCACCGCGCTTTAAGCTCTGAGTCTCTCAGGTTACTGAGGAAAATGCTGTAGAGCTGCAGCAGAGCAGATGCGACTCACGAGTTAAAAAGCAGGCAGGACAAACAGGTGGCTCAGCATTAGAGTGCTCAAAGCATAACACAGACGTGACCCCCGTTAGAGACACATGCACAGGCACATGCATTTTCATCCACTCACATTCATATTTACACACACACAGTATGTAAATATGAACATGCTGTAGTAAATAAAAGCGACCCCCGCTCATGCTCTGTGTCCCACGCTCATGTAGACCATGTGAGAACATGCAGGTCTGAGTAGCGGAGATATAATTAAGCCGCCCCTCACAGAGAGAACAGGGCAGTGTTACACAAGTTTCAGATGACTCCCTCCCTGCCTGTGTCCTTTACACACCACTGCATTTAGAGTACAAGTATTTAGCGCTTCATCACCGGAATGCAATTATATTTTTAGATAGGCTTGTATGTTTGATTTTTACTCATGTTTAGGTTAGAGGTTACAGTGTGGTTCATCAACTCAGGATTTCTTGATCTTTAAAAGCCCTTTCAATATTGTTCAATACACATCACTCAAATTCAAGATGTTAAATTGCACTGCTTCACTAATTCCACTCAGGAAATTTTTTCACTGCTAAGAGTGAGGGGACCTAGTGAGCTGTATTCCTAGGCAGTGGGCTCAGAAATGTTATGGCCCACCATCCAAAGGAAATTTGCTATCTAATTTCTTATTTGTCCATTCAAAGAAAGACTCATCAAAATATTTCCACTGCAGACATGTACCTAAAACACATACACACTGTAAAAGGCCAAGTACTAGACTCTTAACACATCAATCATGCCATCCAGTAGCTAGGTTTTGGATGTCCACATTATGAGTTATTTGCTTTTCGACTTTAGCTAACACTACAAACACTTTAATGGGAACACTCAAATCATTCCTCTAAAGTTTCATCACTTCAGGCCTCCTTTATTTCAGTCCCTCTGCCTTATGCTGGCGTGGAGCCAAGTGTCAAGAGTGAAATGCAGAAAATGTGCTTGATCAGCTTTAAGGTAAGGACAAGCTGGTGTTAGCTGTTCACCCTCACACGTCTCCATTAAAACCTCATCAGAGTGGACTTTTAAAAACAAACTCATTATACTTAGAGGCTCGCTATCAACAGCTAAAATATGTTTTCCAAGCTTGACACACGGTTCAGCCCAACAAATCTCTACACACAAACTAAAAAAAAAGGTTCTACAAACTTTCTGAAACTTGCTTGCTGTCTTTTTATTTGATACACAACCTTCTCCCAAGACTTTGATACCAGAGTGCAGCAGGTCATCAAAAATTATACTGGACTGGTCATAAAACAGGTTAAGCAAGAAGGGTTTTCTCTTCCTAATATGAACCTACAGGCTAAAATTGGAGCTGAGAAACTGTGAACCAAGTTCTCACCTGCTCCAGCTGTACAGTCAGTAACTACCTAACATTGGATGCAGCCAGTTAACTTTTTGGGTCATGATTTAACATGTCTAAAGTGTATGTTCAGAGCCTCTGGGACAGTTTGAAAGGACCCACTATAAAACGAAATACATTATTCTGAGGGTCACAAAACCCCAGAACCTACTCTTTTAATTACCAGAATTTGATCCATTCTATCTAATAACATTTGGAAAGAGGCATATGATAAATCATTTTATCCCATTCATGTTTGCAGGGAGCCAACAGGAAGACTCTGGCTTGGCTGGACTTTAGTGCACATGAGGAAGCCCAGGGAGGCTGTTACAGCAAATGTGCACAGTGGGCAACTTTCATAGGAATGAATGGGGCGCCATCTGCCGCATCCAGGTCTCAATATTACATCCATGCCTCTGGCAGATTTTATAAGCTATATCTAGCTAGCTAATGAAGCATACGTTAGCTCCATGAATTGGTAGCAAAAGCTGCTCTGGGTGACTTTTTAGTGTTTCCTGCTGACTCCATTTAAAACTAGAATCTTGTAAAAGATGCATGATATTGTGCAAAAACAAAGAAGCTAAACTTACATGTAAAAGAAATTGAAATAGAGAAAGAGCATTGTTATTTTATTGTGGTGTGGAGCTGGTTAGTCTTAGTAATAGGCTACTATGATAAGGATAAATGTATCGGACTGTTTGTTATTTCATGCTAACACGGTTGGCTATTTAGCTTACATATTTTGTTCGTATATTCAAATATGTTTTTAGTTTTCATAAGTCTGTTAGAATGAGAACTGATGTTTTTAGCAAATGTAATACTATCTTGAGTAAAGAGATTTGTTGGGATTGCTTATTTGTTCTTCCCAAAATAAAAGAGCATGACAGAATTGCTATTAGCCTAAACTCTCCTAACATCCAGGAGCAGCTTTCACAAAGTTGGGAAATATGCATAGTGGATTTGCGAGTTGTGACCTACCTTTTTTTAAGCAACCTCTAACCCCACAAACGTAATAGTTAATGATGTGCTTGGTTACTGCTGTCTGTCAGTAGTAAGCTAGTTAGATGGACATGCCACTATTTGCAGCTAACGAGTGATCAATAACCCATTTCTTTAATTTTTGCTTTTGTGTTTTTGGAACTGGCTTTAAAAGAGACTCCACCCTCCAAGCCCTATAATGCCAAGTATCCTTCATACTACTGCACCGTGCACACCACTTAGCAGAGCTGCCAAGCAATGATTGGACAATTACTGTTCGGGGGAGGGCTTACTGAACAGTCAATTGGTAGGATATTGTCCATAAAAGCAAACCCTTTATTTTGAACTATTATTATTAATATTATTCATACCTCTGAGTTGAAGCGTATTTGACAGACATTGCAGGATATGATTGGCCGCTTTGTCTTCACCATTGGTGGCCCGAAGGTGTGTGTCATCACAGCCTTCTGGACAGGGTCCATCTGAGGAGAGATAACACATCAAAGATTCAGCGACACAGGAGGAACTCAGAGGGCAGGTTTTCTGTGTTTCTCCTATCAAGAGTCCAGTGAATGTGGATGAAAGAGAAAAATGTTGAATAAAGTGCAGGTGAATGACAGGGGGGGTGAAAGCTGGGAGATAAAAAAGAGTGGAGAAGAGTGAATTGAAGGGGGAGCAGGGATTGATGTGGGCAGGAGGGTATGTTTTCTCAGCAGCAGCTGCTGCTGCTGTCTGTGCTTGAGTTCTTGGGTGCCGTTCAAAGTTTTAATTCATGCTGGGGTTAGAAGGGCCTAATTACACACTCTCTATCTCCAAAAATGTGTACTTTGTTTGTGTGCTACAAAATCTCTTCTTTTCAAAACATCAAACCAGATTATTACACCAAACAATATGTTTTCCATGAAGTACCTTGATAAGAGGATCGGCTATATCTTATCTAACGTATTTAGATAAGAATCAGCCTTACCATAGAGGCATTAGGTGCTTGTGGCAAGAAAAGCAATCGAATTCATCTTCAGGGAAATTGAATTTCACATTTTAAAACACTGAGTAATAAAAATACAGAAAAATTTTGAAATTGTGAACAATTAAATTAACGAAATGGAATATAAGTCGTTGAAAAATGTGTTGTTGGTAATTAAAAAACAAAATGATGATTGTATTTCTAACATTTAAGGATTGACTGAAATTTGAGTACATTTACAATAAACAGCAGGTAGTTTTTATTTAAAAGAGGTCTAATTTTCATTGTCGTGAAGAGGTATAATTACTGCAATTACAAACATGCAACTCAATTTCTATCTTAGGTGAATCACATAAAGGGATAAAAACATTTCATTAACACGATGAAGAAACATGTATCAGAAAACAGTAATTAAACTCTAATGTAGTTAATGTAATTAAAATAAACTGACAATAAAATATAAATAAATATATAAAATAAATAAACAATGGGATCAAAGACTTATGGAAAAACCAGAGCGTGTCAATGTCAAAGTTATGGACGTATCATAAATATCTTAAATTAATGCCAAAATGAAAACAGTGGCCTAAAATTACCAACCAAGCGTGTCATTCTCAGACCAAGCACAGATATCTACCACGTCATACTCTTATGAAATGTTTACTACCTCGTTTTTAGGCGACTCGAATGGACTCGTGTGAGCTCTCTGACCTGCTGGCAGGGTTCAACAACCACAGCGCTGGGTGTTGCCCTCATTAAGCAGCCAAAAGTACACTGTGGTTTTACTCAGCCTCTCATCTCCTGCTCAGACTGTGAATGTACGCTGCCAAATGAAAGACTATGTACACTCTCAAGTTCCAGGCACTGGGGGAAATTGTATCATTGGTCTGAAAATTTAAACTCTGTTTGAATGCATTGTTAGACATATTTATAGACTATAGCCTATAGTTTTTTTGTGCTACTGTCTCTTATCTCGTGTCTCCAATTCACCTCTCTCTTGTTTTGCCTTTCTCATGTGGAGACCTGTAACACCTTTAAACTTGTTTGTTTACATCTGTACATTTGTCTCTGTGCTAACATTGTGTATATGGGTGTAAAGGCATGACAACTGTGTGTGTCTCTATCTGAAAGCTTTATTGTCGATGTGTGTGTACAACATTGTAGATAAAAACAAAAAATCCTGTCTCACTCTCTCTCTTATTGGTGGCTGTTGTTCAGCATGTTGATCTCCCATCACTTTGTGTCTTTCACCACCTGTTCTTGTCTCTTTCCATACATGTGTCCCTACTGTTATAACCTCATTAATCCATTAGTCTCCTCTTTCACTCTCTCCCCCCTCAAACAGTGGAGCTTTTGTTGCATGAGAATTTTATCATATGTGTCATATGCACATCTGAATTTATAGTTCACTGACAGCATTCTTCTTAAATAGCCTAATACACCGTAAGGTCCAAGATCATCCCACAGTTTTGCATTTGTTTCACATTTTGGAAGTTACAATCCTTACAATTTCATTTGGCGACACCAGCTGTTAAAGGTGGTGAGAACAAATGTGTTTCAGTGGTTCAGGCACCTTATTGCCCGCTGGAGGCAGTAAACACATCTTGAGAAACTACTCTGTCAGAGATGCAACAGAGGAGCAGCAGCTCATTTATCTGTTTACAGCACACTGTGGATTGAGAGGAGTCATCGCTTCAGGTTGTTTAATAAAGAAGACTAAAGACGACAATTATTCAGGTTTCAGACCTCTAAATCTGGTGTTGTTCTCTTTGACGGCTATTCGCCCAGGAACATCTCAGCCTGTGCAATGTGAAGGATGGATGGACAATGAAAATTACTTTATAGAGAGGCAATTACAGAGTACAAACACACTGAATGGAAAAAATGTATCAGAATTTCAGAAGGCTGTGATATGATGAAAATCCCTTTCTAACTTTAAAATAATATTTCCTACCCAAACTGAGTAACTGAGAGGCTAATCTTAAACTTAATCCTTAAAGAAATACAAATTACAAATCAACAGAGTGACAGAAGCTTAATCTCTCCCTCTGCACACACCAGCTTCACTGTGCAGCTTATATCTCACTGCAAGAAGGCGAGATCTACAGAATACGCCCGACAATCTCAAGAGTTTGGAAATTACCTGTAATCCTCGTGAGTCAGGCCTGATACCAGCTCTCTAGATAACTCCCAGAGCTCCATGCTCCACAAAAGTTTCTGTCCAAACTGGAACAAACTGTGTTTGAAACAATAAACACAGCAATCAAGTGTTTTTTGTCAGTTTGCCCTTGTCTTTGTCCTTTCAGTCTCTGCAGCTTCTCAAGACGAGCAGACTGATCAGGCTCTGAATAAAGACTCACACCGAGCTGCAGCCTACTGTCACTGGAGGACAGCAGTGTTGCGGACTTGACTTTACTGTGTGGACAGAGAGTGATTTGGATTTAGGTGCTCTGGCATTAGTGGACACACTCAATGTCCTCACTGAAGCAGGATGAATCATTAACCTGAGGAAGGGTCATTTTGCCTGGATGCATGAATATGAGCTCGGTAATGTGTGTGTGTGTGTGTGTGTGTGTGTGTGTGTGTGTGCGTGTGCGTGTGTGTGTGTGCGTGTGGGATGGGGGGGTGCACGTGCATCCCTGTTTGTCGCCACGCTGACCTTCACATGAAACCCAATCTGGAAATGAGAAGGAGCCATAGAAAATACTGAGTATAGAGAACACAGCCTGTGCCTCTCATACAATTGATTAGCTGTAACTCGTTTTATTGCAGTAAAACACTCGCCTGGGCATTTTCTCAATTATGCTGAAACTCACTGCTGAATAAAAAGCAAACAGCTGTCACCTTATCGTCTTAGATTATACAGTATAAATCCTCAGCTCTTTATTGCTTGTCTTTACTCAGGAGGAAACGCTCCAAACCCACAGCTGAATTCCAGCTGTCTTCTCCTAAGTGATACAAGATGATAAGAAATCCCAGACACCATGTGTGCACACATGTGGATTCATGCTCGTGTGCAGGTACGTCTGTGAGCACTCACTGTGTTAAAGTTGTGGAAGAGGCCGATGCTGGCCGGGTGAGGCGACTCCAGGGGGAACTGAAGGAAGGGCTTCATATCCAGTGGGGCTTGGATGACAGGTGGGCTCCTGAGGAAGGCAGGGACCGGCCCAGGTCGGTTTACACTTCCTGGGGTTGATGCACAAAACAGGAACATTGGACATCAAGGATAATGTAGAGAATCACATGCTGCAATCAGTGCACAAGGTTTGTTTAATGACAAGATGAATACAACTAGCTGCATCTGAATAGTTAAGACATTTTGGGAAATAAGCTTTCGTGCTGAGATGCTGATGAGAAGATTGATACAGCTCTTGTGTACATATGAAGCTTCTGCCGGCAGCTGGTTAGCTTAGCTAAGTCTGGAAACAGCTAGCCCGACTCTGTCCAAAGATAACAACATCTGCCTGCCAGCACCACTACAGCAGGGATTTGCTTACTCCGACCTGAAAATGTGACCCACGTGAATCATGCAGATACATAAAAAATATTTTAGGATGGAGGATTTGAGGACATCTATAGGCTGAAGAGTGTGATATGCACGATTATGTTTGTTTACGTTCAGCTCGAACCCAACCTTCCGATTTTAAAAGGACTGCGGTGAAGGAGACTGGCGCCATCTTGGTTTGGCAGAATTATGTGTGAGTTGACTAAGTGAGCATGCACATTTATTTGCCGTGCTGTGCTTGTACTAACTTAAGTTAACCCCTAGCTAATGAAACAGGTGTCCTCGGTTTGTCTGACTATTTGTGTGACTATCTGTTTTGTGCAAGGCAGAAAAACCTAAATGTTAAAATTTAAATGTTTCAATTGCAAAGATATAGCTATAGCTAAAAGTTAGTTAAAATTGAACTACATTGTTATCTGTATCTAAAGCACTTATGGGTTGGTTAATGCCAGTAAATAGTTGGCACTATTCGGTGCCACCAACTACTTTAAAGTAAAATTTACCCTTAGCTAAACCACGCCCCCCTTAGTTACTGTTGCTAAGTCCTACAGATTTTTTTCTCAGCACTGCCACTGTTTATTACTGCACTCCCTGGAGAAATATTTTCTAATTTTTGGAAAAAGCAATCTCAGAGAGAAGCAGACAGTTTTGCAGTTGCATTATACATTTGAAGGTTTAATTCAGGCTGTCAAACTGATGTGAAAAAATAAAGACAGAAGCTAAAACCTACCGATCACAGAGTAAAAGTGACCCACCGTATTATCTGACTATTGAGAAACAGGACAACGATATTGAGGATCAACATTGTTCCTGTACAGCTGGGTAATGTTAGGTCTTTGTACACTTTTACATCATTAAAAGCAGAACAGTAGGGCTTTATAACATTACATTCAGTAGTAAGTTAGCTAGTGTTAGCTAACTAACATTACATTAGGTTTGTTTTAGGTTTTAGAAAGGGAATAAATCGTACTTCTCCTTTCAACCTCTCTGCGTAGCGACTGTAACTATTACAAGTGCCCCAGGAACCATCTCTTGAAAAAATACGGGAAAAGAAAGCTAGAAAACGACGCCTTTCGCATACCAGTCAATGGAGCGCAACCATGAAAGTGTCGGACCTCAGTTAGAGTGAGTCCTATACTGCACTGTGATTGGCCAGCTGCGTATTCAGGGTGTGGCTTAGCAAAGCGTCAATTGTACATTCTCTGAAACAGTGGAAAGCCCACTTCTTGCTTACTGTGCTGTGCTTACGCAGCTGTTAGCCGCCAGCTAACAACACAGGGAAAAAAGTATGAGCAGGTTTTGATGCTTTGTTTTAAAGATACTTTATTTTTCACATACACATACATGTCGCAAGATTCATCCTCTGCATTTAACCCATCCCTGGGAGCATTATTGTATGATTATTGTATAATTGTCTGGCAATAATCATACAATAATGAGTCTAAAATAAAAAAATAAAAAAACGCAATTTCTCTTATTTACAAGATGTGCCACAATAGGGTGACCAGATGTCCCTGTTTTTAACTGTGTGTTAGTCATAGACTGTATAACGTGTTAACAGACCTGAAATCAGATTTTACATGGCCAGAAACTGATTCTTGTCCGCGGGAGCGCACGCAGCATGTAATGGTATAGCCCAATCTCTTATAAATAATAATAAATAAACATCACTTTATGTCCGTGGTAATAGCAAAGGTTTGTCTTTTAACAGAATAATCACATTTGTTGCCAAATAAGGGTTTGCAGTCTGTAACGTAACCAGGCATGACATTTCCGTGATTATAGGCAATAAGCCTGTTGTTGCTGATGAAACGTGTTTGGTAGGCCTCTGTCTAATATCCTTGTTTATATTTGAAAAACTGAATGCAGGCTAGCCTATAATTAACATGACTTATTGCTGAGTTATATATAAAATAAAGACATGATCTCTTTTGCAATTATCCTTATTAGCCTACTCTACATTATCTAACTTGCTGTGTACCGACCAATCCAGTCCTTTTTTACCTGTTGAAATACCTTTGAATGGCCAATACAACCTATATAATGCAGTATTTCACTTGCCAGAAAGTGATTGCAGCCTCTACTTGTTAACCGAAAGGTAGTTTCTGCCCTGAAATGACTTCATTATATTCATGAGGGTTATATTTGATAGATTATAACTCACCTAGTACTTTTTACCTCTTAAAATACCTTTAAATGGCCAAAACAATACATAAAATGCAGTATTCTACTTGCCAGAAAGGGATTGCAGCCTCTAGGCTACTTATTGACTGAAAGCTAGTTTCTGCCTCAAAATGACTTGATTTCATTTGGAAGAGTTATATTTGACAGATTATAAAACCAAAAATGTCCCCGGTTTTCATTTCAGAAATCTGGTCACCTTATGCCACAATCAACAACATAATTCACAGAAAAGCTTGTGCAAGCAGCGGCCAGTTTATACTTAACATCACGAAAAACCCACCACTGCGTTTTCTGGTCAGCCACTGTACAGTGCCTGGGAACCAGATTGAAATGCAGTGTCTGGTCAAATGACTCTGACTGGAGAACATACCTAACCTCTGTACACCCCGAGGAAACCCATGCAAACTCCACAGAGAAAGGCTGGGACGACCGAGGTTCAAACCCGGGACCTTCTTGCTGTGAGGCCACAGCACTAGGTGCACTAGGCCACCATGTTGTCCGTGTTTCCGTATGTCTTAGTTACTTTCTATAGTCAGGGCCGAATTGTTTTTCTGTCCACTGTTCTCGATCAGCACTACAGGGCAGAGCTCTCTGTATTTTCCTGTTTTTTGTTGAGCACATAATCACTAATTAATTCATTAAATCTTGTTTGTCTAATCCATACAAAAATGGGGGACTTCTTCTTGGCCAGGAGTAGTAACAGTGCAGTCCAGCACACCAGCCTCCTTAAAACCATGTGCTGTTTGTGTGCTTTGTGGTTTTTGAATGGATTAAACAAATGAGAAATAAAATGTTAATGAATAGGCTGTATAGGTGCTAGTAGGTTATTTTTTTTTACCTTTGAACAGAGCCAGGCTAGCTGTTTTACCCCAATTCCAGTCTTTGTGCTAAACTAAGCTGAGCAGCTCCTGGTTATAGCCTCATAAGTACTGTTACAGACAGACATGAGAGTGGTATTGATCTTCTCATCTAACTCTCGGCAAGAATGCAAATAATAATATTTCCCAAAATGTTAACGTATTTCTCTAAAGCTAAGGATCATATCAGATTGAGTACCAGCTGTCCTTCTCTATATAACAAAAACATCTAATACTCCCCCTTCTCATCTTCTGCGTCATTTCCCCACATTGAGCCCCACTACCCACCACCTTTCCTCTCTCTGCTTCTCTTGCTCACTTTTCTCTCAGTAGTAGCTCAGAAGAGGTGAATGTCTGCACTTGGAGTCTTCTGTGATGGGCAGGAGGCTAAGCTCCTTAAGCCTCGCAGCTGGGGTGCTGCAGATATCCGCCTTTTCTCCATTTCTCCCTCTGTTTCTCTCTCACCAACCACAGTTTTCTATCTCCATTTCATGGTCCCTTATGCTGTCTGTCTGCCTCTGTAGCCCTCATCTGTTCTTCTCCTCACTCCAGCACCAGTCCTTCTAGCTGTGTTGTTCCTCCTCATGCTCTTTCTGTTTTGCTCTGTCCTTTCCACTTCTGCTTCCCGTAGTTATTCTTCTCTTTAATGTAGCAGCAGGGTGCTTCAGGCCCAATCTGGCTATGCAGAGAGAATTTGTATAATCTTTTCTCCTGAGATTATATGCAATCATCCTCCTTTATTGCCACAGCTTTGTGATGACTACTTAACAATTTTGTTACATTTGAAAGGAAAAACTGGTCACTTGTCACAACGAGGGGGGAAAAAGCCTATTTTGGTAACAGCAGAGGAGGCTCCTTTCACTGACAGCAGGGGAGACGTAAAGAATGTGCTGTCAGGATCAGAAATAGATGGAGGGGAAAGTCTCTCCTTCTGGCATTCCTCTTTGGAGCGTTTCAGTCCTTGGGAGGCAGTGGCAGCTGAAGCTCAGCTGCAGCTACTGTAATTTGCGCTTTCGCATATGCAGCATCAGAAGGAAGTGAAATAAGATATAAAACTAGAGGTCATGATTTAAATGTCCTTCAGACATGCCATGAATCCCACAGCTCACATGGCAGCCATTATCACCTCTAGAAAAACCAGCAACATCGAAGTTTGTACAGAATTAAAGAATTACCAGCGGTAATAACACACCTTAGTTCACACCAACATACGAACTTGTAGGAATGAGTGAACGCTCCACACCAGATATCATGATGGACTGAGTATAAGCAATAGCAAGATAAAAATAGGTTTTAATTAAAAGCAATCTGTGAATATTCTTAAATGATAAGGATGGTGATATTCTTTATTTTTGTTGTTTCGTGGAATTTGAAGACAATGAATTCCATGAAAATACCCAAGCTAACAACGTGTTAGTCCATCTTTTAATACTTTCTGACTTCTCCAGCCTGGCTGTTGCTCTCCACCCTGAACCCATTAGTTCCTCCTGAAGATGTAAATCTTTAAAAATATGTTTAATTAAATTTAAATAAAGGCTATATTATTTCGCAGAAACAGCAGGACACCATAGTTTGTAGAAAACATTAGTCAAGCAGGAGTAAATAGTGCATTTGTTGGGGGCTGTTTTCAGCTATGGATT